CTACTAGCTTCTTGTTACTACTAGTAAGGCACTTGTTACTAGAAGCGTGAGGTTGGGCCAAAATGCAGTGGGGTGGAATGTATGTGCCCACATTGAGCCGCTTTTTTTTAGCACCCCCCGCATCAAGACTTGCACGATCTGGCCATAAGGCACAAAGAGTGAAGGGCTCACCACAATTAACAGCTCCTACAAGAATTTTAACCCCAAGAAACTGAGGCTTAATTAGTGTGCACCCCAGCACAAGTCACCAGTGACCGAATCAGATCCGACCAGATCCTCCCGAACATCTCCAGAAGCCCTCGACCTCCCAAACTGCCGCCGCGTGGCCAACGCATGAGCTCCTTCCCATCCCGGCGTCCCACCGCGCGGCGAACGCGCGGCAGAGCCCACAGCACCAGGGCCACGCTGCGCGCGCATCCCGGCCCGTGGCGGCGCGAGGGCGGTGGGCGCGGCGCGGAGTGCGGTGAGCGCAGTGGGCGCAGGTGAGCACCATGGAGAGGCACTGGTGGAGGCCCAGACCATCCAGGCCAGTGCATGGGTGGTGTTTTCTTGACAGGCTTCAAATCATTTCAGATCCCGATTGTATTCAATATAACTGGGTATTGAGGGTCCAGCAGTTGCAGTTGTCCTGGTTGTGCAGGTGATGACAGTTCAAAATACGACTGGCTGACTGCACTCTTTTACTCAGTAGAGACCGAAACCTGAATTGAGGTGGTGGAGGACAGAAAACATCAAAAAATGCAAAAGCATCGAAGACCTGCATTGAGTATCTCTGCGCCCCCTCCCAGCAGTACCGGGTCTCAAACCAGTCCCACGCACGAAACAGGTCAAAGAACGTCAAAGAAAATCTCTGCGCTTGAAACCGAGAACATGTCTGACATGGTGGGACTCAAAAACACCATCTCTTCGTTCCCAAGGCTTCCAACGACCATGTCCCGCCCAGCCCTCCGCCGACCTCGAGGCCGGACGTCCGGCGGGCGCGGTCCGAGCGGTCGACACCGGAGGGCCCACGCTGGAGCCATGACAGCATGAAGCGGTTGCTCACTTGGCTCGCTGCCCCCAACACGGCGTCATGAATGGTATGAGGCAATCCTTCATGGTGCCCGTAAAGGAATCCCTTTCGAAGCAATCCAACCAGGTTGGAAGTCTAAACCCGTGAAGAAGCATGCTTGAGCTTTCATACTGTCACGTGCACTATGTGCCCTTCACCTTCAACCTCTATATAGCTTTCACGGCAGATGGCCATATACATGGCCATGTGCAAGACTGACCAGCAACAAGCTACAAGCAAGCTAGACTAAAACGCCACATCTTTTCAACCTCCTCGCAGCAGACGTGATGGGGTGAGGCCGCGGGTTCTGACCTGGACCAGGTTCGGACACCGAACGTCCGGCGGGGCCTTCAGCCGCGCCAGGCTGAGCGCCAGCGCTAGGAGAATCGGGCACCATCTCAGAAGAGGTTGCCTTGGCAGCAGGCAGTGCAGGCAGGAGACTGGAGATGCATCTGTTTGCCATAAGCAAGGCTAGAGAAGCATCTTCTGGTCACTCTGGCAATTCAGGACCATGAAGTGCAAAATGCTGGAACAATTGGCACCTAGTGGCACCATTGATGAGTGGACAGAGGACAACCAAAAAATCACATTTGAATGCAATTGAGCAGTAAAGAAAGGACGGGTACAGACCTGTGACACATGGCACAACTCTGCCACAAAGTGGATTCCCAAACCTCAGCTTGACATCAACCTGGATTCACTTCAAGAGCCTGCCAGCATGTGCCATCCTGTGTCTCCCCGGCTCCCCCCAGCAAAAAGAAAAAAAAGACCCCCGACCCCCCCCCCCCCCCCAGCCCCACCGGCACCTCCAAAAAGGTGCCCCGTCCGCCCAGCCCGAACCCGCCCCGCCGCTCGGCCGGCGGACTGTTGAAGCCCAGCGGAAGGTCCGAGCCCGAAGACTCGGCGTCCGACTCGTCCGCCTGGGGACGACCGGAGGCGGAGCCGGTCGTCAGGAGGCGGACGAGGACCGGTGCGGAAGCAACGAAGCAACGAAGGAAGCAACGGAGCCACATCCAACTGCCACGGTACGGGACTTTCGTGTACTTTTTGGGGGGGGGACTCGAAAAGGCTGGAACAACGTCCATTGAGAGTTGGGCCCAAACGATCGCCCAAACGTGCTCGAATCGGGGCCGAAGACCAGGAACCAGACGGAACAAGCTATTCAAAACAGACTGTAAACATCTAATAAACTTATAAACATCTATAAACTATATATAACCAACATACGAATTATGCTGAAATCGGCTCGACCACCCCCGACCGTCCGCTGAACGGCACCTTCACCGGCCCCGTCGAGGCAACCTGGCGGTGAGGAACGGTTTGGTGCTGGGACGAAGGTGCCGGTTCAGAGGAACCTGAAGTTGAGAGGTTTCCGAATTCAGGTGATTTTGTTGCGATTTGAGTGGTACAGGTCAATTTGTGTGTTTCCAGAGTGTGAAAAATGGTGGTTCCCTAAGGTTCTGGCAGTTTTGAGGTGTTTGAGTGTTTCAAGACAACTGAAACACCATTCTTGATTCGAACGAAATCGGATGCGATCTCCAAAAAGACCCTTAGATTGCAAGTGAATCCAAACACAAAAAAATCTGAATTTAAAAAGCATGGAAATCCTGACAATTTTTTTGTGGAGGTCAAATTTTGGTGAGGTAGGCTGACCATCCTCGGTCGTCTTCGAGAGAGACCTTGGGAATCCATTCCGTAGACGACACCTTTCAGTGAAGCCCGGCCTTTGTGGGGCTGTCAAAAGAAAACTAAGAAAACTAGGGTGGAGTGGAGGCCATTCCTGGGTTGGAGCCCATCGCTACTAGGGTGGAGGCCATCGCTACTAGGGTATGAAGCCCGGCCTTGGTAGAGCCATCAGAAAACCCTCTGATCAGCCTCCCACAACCAGTGGTTTGCCCCGTGAACCACGGGGCAAACCGAGGGGCGGTCAGATGCCGCGGACGCGTCATCCAACAAAACGTCGTTGGCTTGGGGGGTCTCCCATTCTGAAGTACCAAGCCAATCTCTCCCTGGCACCTTGGCTGCGGCTTCCGCCATCCGCTTCTGCCGTTCCTATCGGTCGCGAACCCTCTGCGCGGTCCGACACGGAGACACGGCGTGCAGAGTGTGCGGAGCTTTCCAGTTGGATCGTTGAGTGAAAGTTTGGTCATTTTCCTGTGTGATCAGAACATCCTATCAACAGCCATCAGCAGATCTGTCGGGCGATCTGCCAGAAGTTTGTCCAAGAAGATTGGTCATGTCGAAAACTCAGTTTGATCAATCACCCCAGAAACTGCCTCAGAAATCCCACCAATACCATTTGTCATGGAGAGGCTTGTTACCTTGTTTCATCAACCCCCCCCCCGACATGGATTGATTCTACCATGTCAAACCTCTTCAGGCCCAAACAAAGGGGATGGTTGGAATTCATCCACCAGTCCACCAAGTAAACCAAGTAAACCCTACCCATCCGTATCTTGCTCCGTTCGTAGCGATGCCCTTTGCTCCAAGTAGCTTCTTGCTCCTAGTTGCCAGGAGCCCCTAGTGACCCTAGTGGCGTCCTTGCTCCTCCTCTTCAGGCCTTCAGCCCTGCCACCCTAGAGCCTCCTCGGCCCGTCGGAGCTCTGCCCGGCGCCGCCGCTCAGCCTCCTTGGCCTCCGTTGGAGTTTCGCTCCAAAAAAGTGTGGCGTTTCAAAGGAAGCAAAAGAACCCCCTTCAAAAGGAAACACACATATTTTCTCCGATGTTCAGGTTTCGAGGTTATTGGAGGCCCAAAACCTCTCTCTGCCTTTTTTTCCTCGCTCACCTGAAATTCCCGGTGTTCAGAGATGTTGGTTTTTCATCCAGTGGAGTAAAAGAATCATACCGTCATATCGATCAGAATCTGTACTATAGTACCCAATATCTGAGCTGCGTAGGGTACATCGGAGACAAAACGAAGCCCCCCTGTTTGGCCTCTTGGGGAACATCGGAATATGGTCCCTGTTGGTGGCCATGATCTGGTGCGCTATGATCTTGCTACACTCCCGAAAACGAACATGGACCCCAACAATGACCCCCTCAAAGATGGTTTTCCTCTACCAACCAATGGTTCTCAGGGTCCATGTTAGTCTACCAGGGTGTATGGCTTTCGGAGTGTGCCATCTGTGCAGAACAACCCCCCTCCCATCCATTTCTGGGAACTGCTGCAGCTTCCTCCTCCTTCCGGAGCCTCTCCTGAAGAGTCCATCGTTTGCATTCAAGCCGGGGGCTTCGTCGGGAAGGCAAGGTGGGAGGTCAGAGTCACAAAATGCAGCTGTCAACGAAGAAGCCTGAGCCCCTATGCAAAGTGGACACGGTGTGTTTCGGAAAACGCACCCCTATCAAGGGGTCTGGTCCGACCCCTGCGAAGAGGCCGGGTCCAAGAATTCTATACAGTAATGCTTAGGCTGTGAACTACCACAAAAACATACAAAAAACGCCAACCTCAAATTATAAAGCCTATCGGGATCAGGCCAGGAAACAGAAGGATCGAGCCAACTTCAAGTCTTGGAGCTGAGCCTGGCCCCCTTAGGCCTCCAAGGCCCCAGAGGACTGGACGATAAGCTTCCGAAGGCAAGAAGGGCCACTCCGTACTTCGATGTTGTGGGTCAGAAACGACCCTTCCCATGGTCTGCCAAGAAGGGACAGAAATCAAGACCAACGACTCAACCTTGCTGGTACCTTGCTGGTCTTTTGATGCTCAGATCTCTGAGTCTGACTGCATCTGGCGAGCACCAACGACCGTGACCCGGGACCCTTCCGCGTGGCACGAACCGGTCCGGTCGACCCGAACGACCGACCGGGAGACGGAGGACCGCCGGACTCCCCGGTCCTGTTCGGCCAGGCGTTCTTTCACGCGCTGAGCCTCAATCTCTTGATCCTCTCGAGCCTTTTCCACCTGAGCCAGACCGTGCGATGGTCAGAAGCGGCTGCTCCTCCGGGGAACACACCGTGGTGCGCCTTGGTTCTTTGACGTGGTGCGCCTTTGGGATGCCTAGCTTGGTACAGGTTCGACGCATGACACGACCGCCCAACCGCATTCGGACCCGAGGCCACTGCTCCGTGGCTCCGTCGTGCGACGAAGCCGAAGCGGCGGCTGCGGGGGTAAAGCTTTCATCTTCGAAACAGTGAGGTAGTGCTCAGCTGTTCCCTTCTAAATCGTCTAAACACCTTATTGCTCTCTTCTTGGGAGACCAAGTTCCTGGTTCTTCTAAGTGATCCTTTGATCCCCTGGTTTACTTAGGCCAGTAATAGGTCACTGCAAAACTCCAAACCTAAATCGAGTTGTCCGAGTCGATGAAGTGACGTTGGTTCCGGGCGAAGCAGAACTGCAGGCATTTGGATGATGTCACGTGAGCAGCCGGCTTGAAGATACTTGCATTCACTACTCTCCAACGAGTCAACGAGTCAAAGACCAAAAAGAAAAGGAATAAGACAACTCTTAGGGCTCATGGCAACTTCATGGAACTTCCCTTACGCCTTACTTCACGAAAACCATGGCAATCTCTTTCCACTTCTATGAGACCCAATGGGTGGTTCCCAAGATCTGCCTAACTTGGATGCACCTGAAATGTGTTTTGAAGCCTCCTGTTTGGATTCCAAGAGCCCCGGAACTGAAGAAGTGACTCGACCACCTCCCACTCGACATGGAAGAAACTACTGAGTTGGTCTTCCAAGGGGGGGGCAGACATTGGACTTCCATGCAAGTTGCAGGGAGTGTCCATTCTCTCCATCCCCGGCCTCACGCTCTTTGGCTTGAGCCTCCCGTTCCTCACGCCGTCGCCTGGCGAAGAGTCCGAGCGGCAAACCAGAGTCGGTGCCATGTGTTGTGTGTGTCCCATCCGCATATCCCCGCATTCTGGCAGGATCCTACCAGCACCTTCATGTCAAGGTCACCTGGCTGGGTTCGCCCCAGCCCACCATCCAGGACCTCCCTGTCTGGACACCCCGAAAGAAGGTCCAAGTATGATCCAGCAATCCAGCATCGCAAAAGTTCAGGGAGTCGACATTTCGCTCCCCCTTCCAGAGCCGTGGACCCCGTTGTTACGGACGGGGCTCCCAGCTCAGCTTCCTCCTGTTGCAGGGCCACTTTCCGCGCCTGGCGCACGGAAAACCACGCGCCTCCCGAACATCTTCAGATCCTGCTCGACCCGCGATCTCGGGAAAAGAAAAGGAGCATCAGCATCGACCATGAATCTGTTGAGCATCCAAATCTGTTGAGTGCATCATGTAAGATCCCAAAAAGCACCAGTCGAATCTTCGGTTCTGAAGACATCGTCTTTGGGTTCTCAGATCCCAATCCACGAATGGCCTGCAGAACCAAGGTTGGTCACCTCATCACTACGTTGGGAGATCACGTTGGAGGCCTGCAATATTGAGAAGGTCGTGTCCCGCCTTCATCTCCGCCTTCTCGGCCTTCAGCTTCTTCCGCTCTTCGGCGCGTTGCAGCTCCTCGGCCGCCTTCGCCACCTCGAGCCGCTCCTTGGGGCCACATGTGCGTGGAAACCGCAGGGGTTCCGACTGAACTGGATGTCCAGGTGGGTCCGGGCCTTGTGGGGAGGACCAGGTGGAATTGGGCTCTTCGACTTGGGGTTTCAACAGCTGAGTCTGCCAATGGATTTCGTCCAGGCTTTTGAACGAGTTCCTGAAGCATCACTTGGACCCCGAGGCCGAGACTGTTTCAAAAGGTTATGCTCTATTGATTTGCAGTGCAAATAAGTAAGTAAGTAAGTAAGTAAATCAAAACCTGGTTTTTTTTCCAATGATCTTGAACTCCTTGGACTCCTTGGACTCCTATATAGGCTTTTCAGACCTCTCTCCGACTTAAACCATTTCCAAATGTCCATAGCAAAACCCATGGCCCTCCGCTCCTTCTCAGCTCGACGTTCAGCATCGCGCAAGGCCTTCCTTGAGGCGCTGCGTTGGTCCCAACGGATTGAGGCGCACACAGCGAGACACAGGGCGCTTGTCTCACACACTGCCGTGACATCGCCGAGGAGAGTAACGGAAGAAGAAGGGTCTTCTTTTGTCAGAGAGTCACAGTGTGACCTCTTTGAATTGTTGTTTGTTTGTTAGATGGACCGGATGAAGGGTACAGGGAAAGGACCAGAAAACTGCCGTGGATGTGACCACGCAATCATGGCGGCTGGTGGGACGACACACGGATTAATACCCTGTCTCGTGTCAACGAAAGTATAGTCTTCCTAAGCCCTAGGCCCTAGAGTATGTGCGCCATCAACTTCCATCTTCGTTCAAGTTGGAGGGCGCAATACGTCGCAAAACCCACGCAGGGATCCCCAATGTCCCCTGCCCAAGAATGCTCCTGTCTTCGATGGTGGGAGACTCTTGGAACATGATCACTCCTTCACAAAGCAAGACTACGGGCCCCCTGTGCCAAATCATAATGTTTCATGGTTTGCCTCGTCAATCAATTTCGACCAAATGCCAAATGAAAGCCTTCAACATCTTGGGAGTTTGAGACTTGACAAACCTGCTATGCTATGTCCATCGGTCTTCAGAAAGCCAAGCTACTCTTCAGCCCTCTTCAGGGCCTGCTCGGCCTTGGTGGAGCGCGGGTGCACCGCGATTTGCACGGCATTCCAATCAAACACTGGATATATGTAAATAAGAACTCGTACAAGGAATTCCAATAAGTAAATGAGTCATCCACAAAACACTTTAATAATATGATGAAAACAAGTCATATGTGGCAAAAGAAACATGAAAAACTGTCATCATTTATGTGTATGTGTATACATAATAACAATTATATATGTGTTCACACTTATAAACGATGGATATGTCAATATGAAATTCCACCTGATATAATGTTAGTTCTTGAATATACGAGTACAAAAAAGGGTCTAATAAAGTTCCACTTCTGTTTCCATGGAAGTGACTTACCTGGCACCCTATTTGGACAGCAATTCTTGGCCACGCTGCTAAAAGCTAACTCTTGACGTTTTACCCAAAATTCATGTCCTGGAGGGAATGCTTACCTCCTTGGAAAGCTTGAGCGGTGGCTTTCATCCATGTACGGGTTTTTACGTCCCTGGCTTTTAGGCTAAAGCACCCCACATTGCCACAATAAGCAAAACAGAAGCAACGCCTTTTACTCAGCCATTCCCCTACCCTAGCTTTCGACATTTGCATGGTTAACCCCAAAAAGATATTCCATGTGTCAAGCTGGAATCTGTACCTAAAAAAACGGAACAGGTTCAATAGCAGTGGGCACCACCGGAGCTCAGCTGCGTAATTTTGACAGTTAGAGCGCCAGAAAATGTGCCAGGTAGAATGCCACAACATATACCAATATAGAATGCCTGAATATACTTATACCAGATCGAATGCCAGAATATTTGCTAGACGGAATGCCATAGTATATGCCAGTATAATCCAGTATATATATATATATATGCAAGATGGCATATTGCCGTCGGTTATCAGCACAGTATAATGCCATGGTGGGGATCACTCAAAGCAATGTAATTCTAAACATGATGATACACCGGAAGTTAGAGGATTTATCATTCATTCATTTAGTAAGTTAGGCTAGTCCAGTGAATAAACCCATAGATGGCAACGCAGGCCCTGCGTTCCACCGTCCATCCCAGATCGATGCTGAGCATTCCAGCATACTCACTGGTGGCGTGCGACATCTGCCGAAGGACCTGGCGTTTTCGGACATCATACGTCGAACCCTCTCATGCGTTGTATGAGTGAAAATGGACAAGAAATGATCAGGGATGTTCATTCACCATCATATACGCGTTTTTTTTTCGTGTTCAGTCAGCTCTTAAGGGTGAACCAGCAACCTTTACTCGAAGACTGATGATGATTGACTAGTATTGAATCCATTGAAGTTGATTGCTGGGGGGGGGTTGACCAATAACATCTTCTGTTGCCTTTTACGAGAGATCTATGCTTCGCCTGTTTCTCCGGTTTCAACACTGTTGACGCAACAGTTGACACACTGTTCACGTGCATCCGGACGATCTAATGGGTCACTCCAAGCACTCTGTGCATTTATTCCCAAGCAGACTGGGAGCCAATGGCCAACTGCCGGGGATCGCATATCATCTCATCACCTTCGAACCCAATTTTGCATAGAAGGTCGGCATGTGCCAACAACGAAAATAACTGAGAATAAGTAAGGCAAATCTGAGCCTCTCCCAAACTCACATCTTGCAACTGCTCGGACTGCTCAGACCCTGGGTGACCCGGCCCAGCGGCGACGCAGCCTCGGCCGTGAGCTGGCTGGCTGTGGTCCAAAACAAGTTGTGGAGATGGGGGTGGTGCAAGCGGTCTTCTTGACGTTCTTCCTGATTGGGATTTTGGTCTTGCACTGCATCCAATGTTCTGGGCTTGGTCAACATCCATGCTGCAACATCCATGCTTGTGAGGGCATGCTGAATCTTTCGCAAACCGTAAGCGGTAGGAACCTGCCACCAAGCCAAAGCCAAAGCTCAGCCCCAACGAGACTTTGAGGGCCGAGACGCATAACACCTACCAGTACCATCCAGTACCCAACAAAGGTCCGAAAAAGGAACCAGAAAAAAAGGAACGTTCCTCCCACGATGGCTCCGGAAAACACGATCGCTCCGGAAAGAACCTCCGCCTATCCACATGAAATTGTGGGGTCCCCGACTCATCCGCCAGCTTCAGCAGCTCCTTGAACTGTTGGTGCACCCCATCCACACTGTGGAGCGCCACGATGCTCAAGCGGATGTTCTTGCCCATGGCCTTACCAATCCTCGAGAAGGAAGGGATGATCGGTCAAAAGATCAGAAGACCAACGCGACAAGCGGCGATTCCGGTGAAAACGGCCCCATGCCATGCCCTTCCGAACCGTGCTTTGTTGTACAACTTTGGAACTTACCTCCCCAAAAAAGGAGGTCCGAAAGGCCTCAGGCTCACGACCTCAGGCGGCCAAGGCATGATGTGCCATCTATCACCCGCCATTCTGGATGCTCCCAGAACTCTTCCCTTCGTGGAAACTCTCCTCCCACGCCCGCAAACAAAAAGCCCCCTCTGCCCACGAAGTACGCCCCGTGGACTGTGCCTGTTGCGGCTCAGGGCAAAGATCACCGGCACCTGGTGAACACCAGGGTGAACACTGCTGACCGGTCGTGTGTGTGTGTGTGTTATTTTTGGAAATCGCCCCCAACTCATATAACTAGCTTTTGGGATGTTCCAAACTGATATAGCCCTTGCGAGCATGGATCTATATAAGTGTGTGTTTTTGGAAATCGCCCCCAACTCCATATGATCCTTTGGTGTTGGCCGAAATGGATACCGAAATGGTTCTTTCGATATGGATCTTCAAACCCTGCACAGTGTGATGAAATTGAAACAATGAAGGATTTACTTCAAAGCCCAGCTTCGGGGCCAAGTTTTTTCAATCAGTTGTTTTTCAGAGTGGTGTCGTTGCTCGACAATTCAAGACGATTTGGGAGGAAGTCATGTTTCAAATTAAGTGATTATAGTGCTCATGGGTGACAGGAAGCCCTCATGGTTGCTTCTTGTCGTCTTTCTCTGCTCATCTGCTCCTATCCCCAGGTCATCCTTTAGGGTTGAAAACCGGGGTCCCAGAACGACGGTCACAAACCAGGAAAAACCGCCTCCGCACCCAGCACGGTTCTTTGCGTCCAACAGCACCCATTCTTTGTGAGACGACTGGAGGTGATGCTCAGAGTTTCATCTCGGTGTTCAATCTACTCTGGCCAGGCAGCGGGGTCGGTTCCTGTTACCCAAGCTGTCTGAACCTGGTGTTTCATCCGCGACAAAACCCTCACAGATCGTGAAAAAACAAACAGCCAAAAGGCCTTTGAGTCACAGAAAGTGCATTCACCAAACCTTTGAAGCTTAGTTTGAACCGCACTGTTCGGATCTTCTGGGGCTTCGCGGGGCTTCAGTCGTGGCCGCCAGGCTCCGACTGATGGTGGCTTGCTCAGGCGTTCGCCGCTTTGGGCCTTTTCTGCGTGGTCAGGTTGAGGAGCCCCGTGTCGTTCAGCGCGTCCTCAAAGCCCTTGATGTCGGTGTCGTTGCGGGAGAGCACCTCTTTTTTCGGTGGCTTCATCAGGGAGGGGGGAGAGGGCAGACAGGACACCCGGTTGGGCGTTGAACACTTCGGGATCCCCGCACAAGAGGCTCCCCCAAGTGTTGAAAAGCAGGACCCTCCGCCTTGAATATCAAGCAAAACATCTCTCCCAAGAGAGGGCACTTGCCTGGAAGTCGAGAAGCACCCCGCCTTGAGGACTTGTTGGGTGGCATTGCCAACCTTTTCGATGCCCGACTCCAGCTCCCCCTCCATCGCGTGGATGTTTTCGATGCTGAAGCGTCTCTCCAAGTCCTTCTGCAGTGCACCGCTCTGATAGCGCCGCACTAAAGACAGCCTGACAGTCAGTCCAAGAAGAAGCCGGTGTTAAACCAAAAAGAAGCCGAAGCAAGTCATAAGACACAATCCATCAAACAACTGAAGAAGGCTGTAGGCCGAAGAAGGCTCGTGGCCGTGATTCTATGTCTTGCCCTTTTGCAACCTGGGACGAAAGATCGGGGAAGATCCATTCGTCTGTCTTTCTCTTTGTGCCAGGAAGGAGAAGACCTATAGGAACCTAATATCAATGGCCTCCAACCTAATAGGAATGGCCTCCAACCTAAAAGCGATGGCATCCAACCTAATAGCGATGGCCTCCAATTGACTAGCGATGGCCTCCAACCTAACAGGAATGGCCTCCAACCAATGGCCTCCAATTTACTAGCGATGGCCTCCAACCTAACAGCGATGGCCTCCAACCTAATAGCAAAAGGAAATGGCTGGATCCAAGTGACATGCCCTTCTTCAGCAACTTGTCGTGCTGCGCTTGCTTCTCTTTTGCTTGATTCTTTCGCAGCATTTCTCTCGACTCGAACACTGCCGTGCGTTGCTCCCCTGGGCAGTCAAGCAGGTCCAGTCAAGCAGGTGCAGTCGGCAAGAATCTGAGGAGCAGTGAATCAAACATCCGCGTTAAATCGATCAAATATGTTAAGAAATGACTCCGTAGAGTCACATGGAGCTGGGGTGGTGTGAATTACGTCCGCTCAGATGTGACGACGGGGCAACCAACTCCGACACCCTCGATGGATCGCACCCCGAGCTCGCTCTGTGACTGCAGGTCCGTAGAGTTTGGTGTTCTTGGAGAATAAAGACGCGCTTTTTGGTTCACCTAGAGGTCTATCTGTAAATACACATATCTGTCCAACGAATGAGCAAGTCCTTAGGTTCCGTAAAAAAAGCGATCGCAAAACATCACATTCCACATCGATCGCTCCTCTATCGAGACGAACACCGGCAGGTTCTCCAAGGCTTGAATTGTCCCAAGGGACCATTCTTTGATTGTGGATGTTTGAGTCAAAAAAAGCAGGTCGATGCTTCTCTCAATGGTCTTGAAGGCTACAAAAAGGGGCACAGGGAAAACATAGAAGAAACTCCTCTGGCGGCGAGTCTCGCGGAAGGCTCCAAACGCTCTTGTGCTCAGCCTGCGGGACTCGCTAGTGTTTGAGGCGGGGAGAGCTGAGTCAATCTCCGATGCAAAAGCCTCAAAAGCCCCCAACAGTTGGTCAACGTCCAGAGGTAAAGCAGAATGCTCGTGCAATAGACTCTAAGGATCTCTAAGGCTACTCAGGGATGTGACGGTGAACAAGGTGGAAATGTCTGAACATTAACTGTGTTTATCTTACACCGGAAAAGGCGCAGAAGTCGCATGAAGTGGCCATTCCAGAAATGCTCTTCCCAGCCATTCTCAAGTGACGCAAATCCCGTACCAGGTACAGTACCAGACCTGCTTGACTTTTCAGCTCTGGAACCAACACTGGCTGCATCCGACAAAAACCGTGTCTCGTCTAACCCTCAAACACCAAGACTGAAAAAACTGCATCTTCCCACGGCGTCTTCCCCCACCTCCGGGGCATCCCACATTAGGATAGGCTCCCCCTTGGGCGTCGTGATGGAGGTCCACCCCTTCGCTGGGAAGTCGATCTTCACCCGCCGGCCCTGACGCTCCAGCACGTGCACGAAGCGACCCATGGGCAGCATCTGGACCTCTCACGCGGGCGAGTCGTCGCTGCAGAAAACGAAACGACCCGCAGGTCACCTGCGCGAAGATCGGTGGTTGGCCCCCGGCTTTTGCGCCCGGTGTTGTGGGGGGTCGGGAGAAAGATTGCAGTTGAAAGGAATCTAAGGTAGAGGGTATAGACTATGACCCAAAAATTCGGAGAAACCGCCCAAAGTAGTAGTGGAATGCCTTGCAAACAGCCCACACAAATGCATGAAATCTCACCCCCAAATCTCCTTGCCCTCTCCTGGAGCTAGGGCCTAAGGATCAGCAAGCCCATTCGCCAAAGCCCCAGTTTCATACCTAAAACAGCCCTTCGCTCTTCCCCACCTCATCCGATTTTGCACGCCAAAAACCACCCTCGACGCTCCCGGCGCTGCTCTCCACCCACCTCACCGGCGCGCGTGACGCTTGCCATCCAAGGGGCCACCGGCGACTTTAAGCTCCGGTTCTGGCGGATGAGGGTGTTTAACACCGCGCGATGCCATCCTAAATGATCTTCCACCTGCAGGAAACAACAAGTGGAATCACCCTTACTGATGGGGTGCCACACACACAAAAAAAAGAAAGAACAAGACACAAGGCCACATATGTCAACTCGCATTGAGACTGGAAAAAGGCCCCCCCAAAACGAGCAGTTGGACATTTGGATATAGTTGGATATGTCTAACAGGTCTCATCATCTAACATCCTCCAATCTAATCAGAACAAGAAAAGCAGCTCATCCAACATCTAGCAGCTAATCTAGACTGCGTATAGCAAAAATAAATAGAAATAAAACATATACCCTACAAGTCCAAAGACTATATTTCGCCCCCCTGAAGTAAAGCGTATTCCTTTTCCGGTCACCTAAAGACCATTCTTGTGATAGTCTTTGACTCCGAGGGTATATATATATATAATATTGTGAATTTGTATGCATTGGAACATGCATATCATGATATGAGATGGCGGCCCTCTCATGTGACCATTTTGGCACAAGGGCCCTTGAGTCTGGCTCATCCGAGCCCCCGACGGTTGCGCAATGGAAAAGTGAGCGCACCGCTTGCTTTTGATCGTGACGGAGTTCTTTGATCCCCGTTGGTTGAGTTGTGACAGTTGCCTTTACAAGTTGCTGTTGATCCTCCGCTCACCATTTTACATGGTAGCGGAGCCGCCAAGCTCCAGGATTGCTTTGTGAGGTCCCGGCCTGATCCCGGGTGCGGTGCAAACCGCAGAGCAGCTCGTGCCATCTAGGTACATTGCTTGTGCAGTGGTGCAAAGTTGAGTTGACGTTGATTGTTGAGCATTGACATTGATTGTTGGTTGTGGAACATTGTTGTTTGTTGTTGGCAGTTTGAGCCATGGACTACAAAGACACTCTCAAAGACCTCTACTTCGATGGGAAGCCAAGCGGATATCGTGAGTTCAGACGCAAGCTGATCCTTGGTGTTGCATCCCTTGAGGACAAGCAACAACACCTGGCCGGTCCTCGAGTCCTCGGAAGATTGTCTGGCGAAGCTTGGAAAGCGACCGAAAACATTCCAATTGCTGACCTTCGATGTGAACAAGGCTGGCTGCAAATTGTTCGGACGCTTGATCAGCATTACCGTTATTTGCCCGAGACCGAGCTCCACGAGGCCATAGATGAGTTCCTTTTTGGGTTGAAGCGGAAAGGACATGAGGGAGCCACTTTCTTCACATCCCGGTTCAAGACAAGTCTGCATCGCCTGGAAACGCTCATCTCACAGGAGCGTCAGCTGTCGAAGAAGCAACCGAAGTCCGCAGTCGAAGAAGAAAAGAAAAAGGAAGATTCGAGTAGTTTGGAAGAGTCGGACGAACATGCCCTACCTCCAGACGATCCCAATGAACAAACTGATGAAACTGAACAAGAAGCTGGAGATGAAGTCCGGCCAGAAGCCAAGGCCAGAGCAGCACCTCCTCCAGGTCCTTTTGATCCTCCCCTTGATCCTCATCGTCGGACCGGATCCACTCCATCGGTCCGAAGTGCGAAGTCGAGCT